CACACACACACACACACACACACACACACACACACACACACACACACACACACACACACACACACATCAGCATACTTTTAGCTGCTTTTTGGTCGTGTCAGTTGAAGACAATGTCGACACCAACGTAGAAGTAGGAGGAGAAACCGAAGCGGCCAACGACTCAGACGGCTCAGATGAATCACTTGAATCGCCCTCCTCTTGCACACATCTCTTCTTCTGTGCAGGACGTCTCGGTGATCGTGTGGCTGGAGCAGCGCTTTTGTACTCTTCGTGCCGTCTTCTTCTTTGCCTCTTGTACAACGGCACACTTTTCTTCTAAGCCCTTCGGCGGTGCGATAGTCTTTCGACCCTTGCCCCTCCCATCTCTCGTCTTTGATGCCACTGCCTCCTTTGCCTTGTTCTTCGTCTCCTAATAAATATATATCAATCAATATCTTTCTGCCTCCCCAATTCTTCACTTGATTTCAGGCAGCGACACTGTGGCACGTTGTGCAGCTTTGTCCTGTGTAGGGGTAGGTCCTCCAACCGCAACAACTGTGGTCCTCCTCCTGTACACCTGGCCATGTGAGTCCTCTGCAGTGACTGGTTGGATGTCCTCACTAAACCGTGGACGGGTGGGTTGGTCCGGTGAATCTGGCCCAATCAGGACGACTCGTCCTCTGTCGGCAACGGGGAAAACGAAGCCAATTGCTAACTAAAGTCATTGTTGTAGCAGTGGGGCAATAGTGAGGTAATTTTTTCCCTCAATCGCAACCCTGTATCTGAAGTGGAGAAAACATCACTGCTTGGCGTGGCTCCATCAGCCACCTCCTCGTCAGCTACCCCAACCACAGTGGCCTCCGCTGCCCCAGCAACAGGGTCGTCCTTATGCGCACCAACAACTCCATCATCCTGAACTGTTGTACCCTTCCCAGTGAGATTCGCTGCAGCAACAACTGGATCATCCCCACGCACACCGACAACCGCATTTCCCTCCACGGTCGTGCTGTCCCCGGCAATGTCTGCCGACCCCCGGGTGTCATCCTGCAGCCAGTGGCTAACTCGTCGAGCACAACCCAATGATGAGGGGCGAGCTGTGCTCCTGAAAGTGAGGAGGTCCCGCGTGGTGAAGCTGCAACACCAGATGTGGAACTCTCTCCTCGTGCACAAACGTCTTCTCAGGCGAACAATGAGGCACGACTGTCTGTCGAACTCCCATCGGATGCAGGAACCATCGGCATTGCAATGTCGTCACGTGGAGTGGAAAAAGAGGCACCACTTGACCTCCTGGTGCGTCGTCCACAGGCTGAACTCCAACTAACTGCTTGCCGTCCTCGTTGTCCTGGCTGTACTCCTCAACAGTTGAAACGACATTCTTGGCTCGCATCCGTAGTGACTAAGAATGTGAGTTTGGGATCTGCAATGCGAAGCACATGGTGACTCACTGAAGCCTCTTTCAAGGCTTGAAAGAGGACAAGGGCAGATCAAGGAGCCGAGTCCTATCATCTACCCTCTCCTGCTGTAGTGGCCAGATGTCAAATTTGGTCACCTTCGATCTGCGGCCGTGATATTCGAACCAGTTTGCAGCCCTCCTCCTCACGTCCTCTTGTTATTCCCCATCCGCATGAATCCATTATATGGATCAACATCCTCAGGTGTCTCGCACTCGAGCGGCTCGGTGTTGACGAAGCCCATCTTCATCTTCGACAGGCGAAGGAACTTCTTGTTCCAGTGGATGAAGACAAGCATCTGAAGGTTCTTCGGTTCCTCTCGCACGGACAGGCAGTGGTCCACATACTGAGCACGTTGACTGCTATCTTCATCAGCGATTTGTGGTTCTTCCCGTAGCTCAACCACCATTGTGCCACAAAGACACGAGTGCTTGTCAAAGCCTGTGCAGACTTCGACCCCGTCCACTCCAGATCCATGTAATGGAAACTTTGAAGAGAGTCCCAACAATCTCTGTACTCCTTTGAGTTCTTCGGCTAAACCGAACTAGAGTGTTCTGGATCTCCTCAGATTCCAAGTAGTCAAAGACTCGAGGGGATCTATGGTGTGGGTGCAACATCCATGCTGCTGCATGCACTGGGAGAGCCATCATCTTCACGCAATCTATCACCTTTTTCATCACCAACTCCCCTCTCTCGCAATCCATTGGTAAAGCAGCCATCCTTTTCCGCAACGTGATCCCCAAAGACCACACCTGCATCCTCATCCTCCCATCTGTCTATGTCCTTCATCCAGGCATAAACAGGTTGTTCATCCAGGCATAAACAGGTTGAAGCAAAGTGCATGTCCGCTTGACAGACAACTGCCAAGTCGGGTCTCGTATCAGCTCCTTGCACACCCTCGCCCGCGTCACTGCCATCTGGTCCCATGGGGCCTCATCCCACTGCGCATGGGAAATAGTCGCCCGCAGTAGTGATTCCACCTCCCGAAGTCACTGTAGCGTAAGGAAGTTTGTGTCAAATCTTGTTTTCCCTGGTTGGATCAACTCCAAAGGTATGTCGTCTGTGATTTCAATTGAATTGTACTCCCTGCCCTCCAGAACTTTGCCGAAGCCCTCTGATGTCCCTTGATGAGCTTTGTGATCTCCCTCCCCTGCAGTATCACCTCTCCAACCCATGCCACTGGAACGATGCCACACATCAACAAGTTGCCGCATGCGCCATGCGCAGGACACCCCTGGAATGCTCCTGATTGCTGGGTCTGTGTGCTCGGCCAGTACTTTCCTTGCTGAAATGTTGACCTGCACTGAGCCACAGTGCATATGGCATTGATTCTGTGCACTCCTAACTCCCTGGTCACCTTCTCCCACAACCTCACCAAAGCTGGAACTGACTTGTCCTTCCCCTCCATATCCAGACTCTTCACCATGTCAGCCCCCAAATCCCTGGCCACAATGAAGTTGATGGCAGGCTTGCTGCTGGGCGTCATCGTGCCGTCTGTCATGAACGTGAGGTCTGTAACATCCCGCGGATCACGGATCTTCTCCAAATCTGCATCCACGGTTTTATACTCTGCCTGCAGGGCCTTGGTCCTCAAGAAGTTGTACCCTGGCATTTTGAGCATCTTCCTCGATCTGGCTGGCTCGTTCAGGATCCTCTCCATGTTATTGTACGAGTCCGACCTTGCAGCATTGATTGGAATGGCGTTTTCAAAGAAGAAAGAGACAACTGCAGCTCATCCACGACATAACTATTCTGGATGACTGCTGCCATGAAGGTACGGACGTGGGAGGCCGTAGTAGGCGAGTGGAAGCTGGAACAAGACCCCTCAAGTGCTTCGCAATCTCTGATGGCAGTTCCGTCTGCATGCTTCTGGCTGCTCTGTTGTCAACGGAGATCGGCGCAAAAGCAATGCCACTACCCTCCACAGACAATGAACTGGGGCCCCTCCAATGACGATATGCCATGCCGACAATCTCCCCCTGCCGATGGAGTACCAGGCCGCTCAGATTCACGTGATCATCTCCATCCAAGTCCATGGAATTCTCCTCAACCGGTGGATGGCCCTGCTCCCCGTAATACCGGTCCAATTTGGAAATGAGCTTCTTGGCAATCTCCGCTGATGGATGGAACCTGCGAACTGCAGCAAGCATCTGCCCAGTGGTGTCCTTGCAGCATGCATTATCTGATGGTTGGACAAAGTGCTTTGCAACTCTAGAAACTGTTCCGACGAACTCTTTGTTGCACAGCTTGCACCGCATCCTCCACGAGCCGTGCGATGTACCGCCGGTCTTCCTCTGACCACAATCCACCCATTTCCAAACATCAGACTGTCTAAGCAGTCTTTCCCTCTCTTCACCAGTCACAGACTCAAAAGGTGGCTGATTCCCAGCCATGGTCAGAAAGAAGAAAAAGAAAAAGGAGGAGAAGAATAAGAAGAAGTGGTCCAAGATGTGAGCCCTACGAATTTCCGGAAAAAAAAACAAAAATGCAGAAAAGGTGGGTAATGGTGGGAAGAAGAAGAAGAAGAAGTAGACCAAGATGTGATTCCTATGAACTTCGGGATTAAAAAAAAAAAAGAAAAAAAAGTAAAGCAAAGTTGGGAGATGGTGGGAAGAAGAAGAAGAAGATTTGGGGAATCTTTTTAAATAGAAAGAATATCCTAAACTGCTCCACTTCGCAGCGCTGAACCAGCGTTCAACCAGTACCCAATCAGGAGAGGTAGTTTTGAAAGGGACGACATAGCTGCCAGGAAGAAAAACATCTGACAGCGCCTCACCCCAGCAGCACAGCATAAGTGTCGCCATGTTAGCGCTTGAAGCCCATGCTCCAGCGCTGCTTCCAGATTTCAGCCGCGACCTCCAGTTATGGCGGAGCGTCCACGACATGGCGATGTCAACTGAAAACTCCAAACAGTACTTGTCCACCTGCAGACCAAATCACGGTCCAAAAGAACCTTTTACTTGACTGACTCGTCCTATTTCTAGCTATGCACGACCTACCGGATTCCACCTCTAGGACCTAGGACTCCACTAGGAACACGGGCCTGCTTAATTCCCAGTAAAGGTAGTGACCGTATCTGGCAGTAGTAAGATGACCTAGGGCCTGGGATTGGACTTTTCCTGTCATGTACCAGACCTACCGGACTCCTAATGCCTTAGGCCTTTCAATGACCTACGGACCTGAATCAGCGTTTCAGCTGCACGGCCTGCCAGTTTGGCTATAGGACATGGGATGGGACCATTGGAGCAATTGGGACCCGGACATGGAACTAGACTTACACGTGAAATCCTTTCACCCTCTTCAAGTTGGTCTTTGAGAAGACTTAGCAGCCCTATACTCAATCCAGCAAGTCGTCAATCTGAGACAATCGTCTACGTCTTTTTATGGTCTTGCTGATCAGCCCTTTGTAGGTTGTTTGTGTTGCGGTGAAGATGACCTGGGTGTGCTCTCTCTGCAGACCAGGCACCGCTGTTCCAGCTCTCCCCTCTCAAAAGGTCTCCAATGACAATTTATTCTACCCAGCTGCAATCATCTGAGCTGTTCAGGGCCGGCCCCATTCCCATTGTTGCTCTCTTTGCCTGTTGGTTTTCAGTTCCAAAATCTGCTTGGGGCACAAGTTGCTCGCTAAGTTCAGTCGACGAGCGCTGACGAAATAGAACATTATCAGCCAGTCCTCCAATCCCAGGTCTGATGCCTGCCCATGTCGGGTGTGAGCAACCAAGCCTGCAACCGAGCGCTTCAATTGAGAGCTCCATTCAGACGCCTCAACGTCTTGTCCTGTCTTGTACCTGGCATGTATTGCCATAGCATGTGTTCCACAAATCCTGCCAGTTGTGATTCTTCATGTATTCCTCCAGCAAAACTCCTTCCCTGCAAATCTCGGTGTCTGCCCAATCTTCGGCTGCCTCCCTCAGATAGGACAGAGAGAAGCCCGTCTTCTTTATCTAGAATTTAGTAGTATGTTGACACGGATTTGATTAGCCTCACCTTTCTCATAGTGAAAAGTTGAAAACCTCTTTCAATTTTGCTTCGGGTTAGTTTTGAGTATTTCCCAGGCCTGATTTCCCCCCCATATAATGGGGTATGAGATGAACTTTGCATGGTAGTCAGCCTCCCCTACCCTTTTGATAAAAGGGAAGGCTTGGAAAGGTGTCTGATCGCAGATAGGGATACTCATTTCCACGGCTTTCCGAGCAAAGTCTTCGTTCATGACAGAGGGATGCTCTCTGCGATCGAGTTTGGGTCAGAAGCTGAAGTGTGACAACCCTTTGAAGGATCTTCTCAAGATCTGCAGGGACCCACAAAAGCCACTTGCGCCTTTTTTGCAGAGTGACCAGGGGATGCCTTCTTCATTTGTCAGCCATTGATTGCTCCTTTGGTGGGTGTGTTTTATTTGGGAGTAGGGTTCTCCATGTCTCAAGAACTGCGGCCCAGCAGGGCTTGGGATTGGGTCATGTATTGGCAGTCGGGGGGCTAATGGATGCCCGCCCGAACTTTTGATCATCACTTGTTTCGATTGTCCTTTCCCTTGCAATGATCCAGAAGGTGCCGCTTATGTTGCACACCTTTTTTCCCCCCGTTTTTTTCTTGGGCGGGGGGGGTGAGGGTGGGGATAGCTGCCAACTGATCAGTGGGGACAGGTGAATATGTTGGTTGGTCGTCCTGTGAGCAATTGAGGGGTGCCAACCGTCGGCGTGACTACTCTGGTTTGATGTTTATTTTCTGGAACCAGGGTAAGTTGGTTTATGCCAGCCTTGGCTGGGAGTAATGATATTGAATGACTACCACTTACAAGTGAGTCGTATTAGATAGCTAGCTTGCGACCTTCCATCCACCTACCTTTTGAGGCTTTTGGCCCGTGTGTTACGATCCTGGCCAATTTCGAAGTACACATTCATCAGAAAGTACAATGCCGTCCAATTGCAAAAAGAAATGAATGAGCTTGATACGAGAGAGAGGGAAGGAAGAAGAAGAAGAACATGATGAAAGAAAGAAGAAGAAGAAGAAGAAGAAAATGTACACCAGCAAAAACCAATGAGAATTTCCTTCTGCTTCACCAACCACTATCCTCCTCCTTTTCTCCTCCCCTCTTATTCAAACAATAAATAACAATAATAATGTTGAATGGCTGAATGTGGCATACTGCGCATCCACACGGGCCTGCAAGGCCCGACCAAACAAGGAAAAGTAAGGGCCCTACAGGCCCTGTGTTGTTTTCAGCCTGAAAGCCTGAAAACAAGGGCCTACAGGCCCTTTGTCGTTTTCAGACTGAAAGCCTGAGAACAAGGGCCTAAAGCCCTGTGTCGTTTCAGCCTGAAAGCCTGAAAACGAGAGCCTACAGGCCATGTGTCGTTTCAGCCTAAAAGCCTGAAAACGAGGGCCATTTTCAGGCCCTCATAAAGTCGACCTGCCCTGAAACTTAGGCACCAGACCAGGGTTTTAGCACAGACCATTTTGGGCCTGTTTTCAAGACAACCTTTGTTTGAACTTCAACACCAGGGTCTGGCACGTTTTGGCATTGGCAAGAGCAGCCCCCTGGACGGGCCAGCACTATATAAGACTGGCCCACCCTGCAGGCTGCAGGCAGTCACGAGGTAGTGACGAGGCAGTTCGTAGGGACTTCCTAGGCACTTCACGTGCAGGAGGCAGGAGGCAGGAGGCAGTCTTCAGGATTCGGCAGCAGCACTCTGGAGGAGCGCTGCAGTAGTAGTGGTAGTAGCGTTAGCAGTAGTCTTCAGCACTGGGCGCTATTAGGAGCTAGAGTAGCGTTGGAGAGAGAGAGATGGTTGGCAGAGGCCAGGGAGACTCACCTGTGGCGCTATAGCTCCAGCTTCGTCTTCGATGTACCTGCAACAAGGCGCCACCTTCACAGGTTAGTACCGGACAGAGAGAGAGACAGAGTTCTTCCTCTTCTAAGTCCACCGTGTCTTCCTCACCCTCTCGCTACCTAACTTTTTAGTATATGCAGACTACGAGAGAGAGAGAGAGAGAGAGATTGGTGACTTTGGGACTTGACGACATTTGGATTCAGACTCGATATTGGGATTGAGACATTGGACGATGGATTATTTGGGACCTGTACCGAAGACTTGGTGTTGGCGACATTCCCATCTTCCGCTCTTCTTCGTCTAACCCCCCTCTTCTTCGTCTGTGTATGGTTGGGGACTGGTGCATTCTTCCTGTGTGAGCGCCAGGCCCCTTCACACCATGAAATGATGATGATGATGTATGTTTGGTCTGCATTGCAACATTGATTGTTTGGATCATTGGTATTTAAGCCTTCCGCTGTGCTATCTTGTACTATGTGAGAGAGGTCGGTTCTTGTTCTGGTCTGCACCTTTACGGTATGCGACACTGAACCAGAACCAATGTCTGAATCCCTCTTCTACTGCAGTCACAACATGAGGTCCACCATGGCCATGGCCACCCTTCCTCTTCCTCTTCATGTAGGCCAAGGCTATGGCTGACTACTAGGGCCCCGCCCTGCTGTGTAAAGGACAACACAAAGCATCTATGCTCGCTGCTGTTCATGCTGCCATGCCTGACTCCGCCTTGCAGCCTTCTTGGTGCGGCGCAACCCCAACTAGGGCCTTCCAGATGCAGCGCCTAACAAGGTGATGAAGATGGTGCCCACTATAGCCAGGTAGGTACCTCGCCACTCTCTTCATCAGTCCTCTTCTCCCTCCTCCTACCAGTAGAGCTCCACCGTAGCCGAGGTGGGAGCTCCCGATCTCCTTCCTCCCAGCAGCACTGCAGTGCCCAATCCTCCTCCAGCCAACGCTCCAAGCAATGTGTCGCCAAACCTGCACACCGAAGAAGGAGGCTGAGCTCTTGGCCCAGCCCGAAGATATAGCGGCCTACTTGCCTCTTGGGCGGTGACTTCCAGGCCGCTCAGCCTCCCAAGCAACCGGTACCTCCTCCCTTTCGGAGGGAAAAATCATTGCAGACTCTGATATTGCTCGTACAGGCCCTAGACTCAGACTGGTTGGACTGGTACCATAGACCTAGCCTACAACTACTGGGCCTCTAAAAATACCAGCTTGTGTCTTCTTCTGCTTGGCCTCGAGTACCTGGCACATCTACTTCTACTTAGTGTGGTACCGGCCTACCTGCCACTTGAGTGTTTTTCCGCTGCCCTAAGTGTCGTGGGCCTCGTGCCCCACCACTCGAGTGTTTTTCCCCCGCTGCAATCCTCAATGTCACAGCCACAGGTAAGTACCCATGCGGGTCACACACACACTCAGGCCGACCAGCACTCAGATACACACGTAGACCATCAAGAACACACACACATAGACTTAGAAAACTCGGCAAAATGTGGGAATCTCTGCAAGGCATCCATTCCAGTGGCAGAACTCATAAATCAGCAGTGTTCTCAGTTTGTGTTTTGGCGGGTCATCACACTACCCCCCCCTCAAGAGCGAGGTTCCTTCGAGCGAGTAACTCAGAGTCCCTGCAAAACGCATCATAGGCGAATATTGCAAAGAGGGATCGGGAGTACGTTGTGGCAGTGAGAGCCGCAATGATCTTTGGTTGTGTATCAATTTGTCATTCATTGGCCTTGACGACTCGGGGTGCGCTTCGCAGCAATTCCCTCTCGGAAATCCAGTACAAATCATCTAGTGGGTGATATAGAAAGTGAACTTGATATTGTCTATTACGTCCCTTACCGGTATGAATCACAATCCTGTTGATCTCATGACCACCATCGATAGAACGAGGGATCATAGGGTCACGATAGGGAAAGGAACCAGGAGTACGACACGGAAACAGTTTGGATGCGTGAAAGACCGAATACGTGCGTAGATGGGGTGGCACGTCAATCACGTAGGAAGGGTCAAATCCATCATCTCCCACTACCTTCAACACCTGCCATGGGCCATTATAGATAGGGAGGAGTTTATTCGACACTCCCTCTTCTTCGGAAAACTAAGACATCTTGACTAGACATAACTTCTCACTTCGAACGATGCACACTGGCGCTCCTTATTAGCGTGTTTAATCATGGCCGCCTG